CACCACACTTGATGGGCCGCGCCGCCAGGTGCGATCGGTCAGCTCGTGACGCTCTCAACACGCCAGGGGCACAGCCGTAGCAATCCGCCGCTGACTATGAGACTTGGGGATTACGTTTTGGCTTTGCTTGGATTTTGACAAACTCTAAATGGCCCGTGACTCCGTCGTATCCCAGTACCTTTGACGGCTACTGAACTCATTCCGTGATCGGCGAAAGCGCCGTTCACACATTGCATCGTGAGGCTTCTATCTCAACAGCCATGGTCAGCTCCAGGACATGTCAACAGGCGCAGCGCCGAGCCGACACCACCGGCTGGTGTCAGGCGTCCGTCGCACCAGCCAACCAGCCAGCGTCAGGCGTCCGACACGCCAGCCAACCGGCCGGCGTCAGGCGTCCATCACGCCAGCCAACCGGCCGGCATCAGGCGCCCGTCACACCATCCAACCGGCCAGCGTCAGGCGTCCGTCGCACCAGCCAACCGGCCGGCGTCAGGTGTCCGTCACGCCAGCCAACCGGCCGGCATCAGGCGTCCGTCGCACCAGCCAACCGGTCAGCGCCAGGCGTCCGTTACACCAGCCAACCGGCCAGCCAGCCAGCCAGCCAGCCCGCCAGCCAGCCAGAGGCTGCAAGTCGCGCCTGAACGTGGCGAGTAAAGTGCAGTGCGCCCGCGCGTGACGGGCCGCCACGCCAGCAGACGTGCTGGCCGAGAAGTGCCCGGACTGACCTGGTAGTCCCTGAGCTTGCCGCCTTTGATGTAGTGCGGCGACTCGTCGAAGCGGACGATGGCCTTGGTGCCTTTGCCCGCCTCTGCCAGCAGCTCCTCGTCCTCATCCTGCTCCGTCATGCGGTGACGATGGCTGCCGGCACGAAGGCCGTGAGCATGAGACAGGCGGCAGCGCCACCAGCAGCCCCACCCCCGCGCCTGGCACGGCGACGAGGATGCACACACCTACACCGGCGCACACCGGACACGTCTCGCCGGCACCACCGACGCATCTGACATCATGGCACAACACACTAACGATACGAAGGGCCAGCAGCATCCCAGCAATCATCACATCGCGTGCACTACGCGTCCCTACATTTCTTCTGGGGCGTCATACCGCGCAGAGCAATCAAAAGTCCACATAACAATGAACAAAGCAAGTTCAAAGATTGTAATGTCTAGAAAAAATACTTGGTTGCTGCCACTAGGTGCTGGAACAAATCCGTTCCACCCGACATTGGCGCATCCACCAGACAGCGCCCTTACTCTCCGTCAGCCACCTCCGTCTGGACTTTTTTGGGCCGTCCTGGTTTGACCTTGAGCGGCGAGCTCGGCTTGTGACGACTGCCGTCGACATGCCATGAAATGTGCAAAGATCTCCGTTTGCTTGAGCAAGAAGTCGAATCTTTTACGACCGATCTTTCTCCTGAAAAAGATCATATGAATGGATCGTCAATCTGATAACAGTCATTGATTCCAATGAAGACCAAGGATTCAAACCTTGGTCTTCTGATTATGATTCTAACACTATCATCTCACATGTTGAGCCAAACCACTGCAGTCCAACCTGGCAGATGGTATGGGACGCGGTCGGGGTATACACAAATACAATCAGACTGCCTTGCAAACACTACCATTTCTGTCTGAGCAGTTCAATGGCAATCTAGGAGTGCATTTTTAGCAGTACTGTAAAAGAAAGAAACAATTCTGCCAGTTCCTATCAGGCAAACAATAGCCTAAGTACCAGAAAGTATGAAATCCCATTACAATTTGTATTTAAATATATGCATTCAGGCACTACCCAGGACATCTAAGGGGGTGGGTCATCAGAGGTTTCTCCAGGGTCATTATATTAAGAGAGAAGTAGTTTGCTCATATTTCAGAGGAAGGTTCACATTTTTCAAACTCTGCCTTCCCTATGAATGCTGCCAAAACTCAAGCAAAATATTCCTCTACATACCTGTACTCTGACTGCCCATCTCAAACACAAAAACACAACCTGGGAAAACAAGTAACTAATTATTCAGTCCAACACCTGTCTGCCATCACCATTTGCCTGCACTTGAGCTATTTTCTCTTTCAAGTTATCATGTTACAGGATGAAAATGCAACACAATTTGGTAGAATAATGAGTTAACCTTCACACAACTGCAAAGTTACCCTTCACACAACTGCAAATACTATCATTATCAATCTCATTGTTTTATGCTGACTTTGCCACCCTGGGAGGCCCTCCCCCATCTAAGA